TCAGACCGGACTGTCTCACACAGGAAGCCGCAGCAGGGAAGTGCTGGCGACAGTGGGAATGGATGCCACACCCTGACTCACAGGCCCACAGCAGCTCTGGCCTCCCTTTATGTCCAAGTGCCATGGTGACTTTCTCTGCCGAGTTTGACAGGCTGAGGGCTCAAAGACACCCTGTACCCTCGGCACTGACAGCCCTGGACCCAAACCAAAACAGTGAGGTGAGTCCCTCCTGACTCATGCTGATACTACAGGACAGAGCAGGACTGGGTTTCCCAGATGGTAACCGTCACAGGAACAGACAGCCTCCCTCAGAGCAGTTGTTAGCAGCCCCGTGTAGCGAGCTGTTCAGCACGTAACTCACAGCACCCCCGACTGCTTCCCTGGCATCCCTGGGCTGGCAAAATGGAGACGCTTTAAAGGAGTGGAAGGTGGTTGTTTCTGTTGTGATTCAAAATCCAGGATCTGTTGGGTCAAAGGCTCAAGCTCGAGGGCCTCTCCTGTGCAAAGCTCGCACGTACAGCGGCGGGCAAAGCAGCCGGCCTGGCTTCTCAAGAAGCGTGGGGCAGGAGACGACGCGAGTCAGACGTGGCAGCAAGAAGCGGGACCCCGGCTGCTGAGAGCCTGGCGAGACTGCGTGGTGGGTTCCGCAGCCTGTGCCGGGCTCACCCAGAGGCAGGCCCTTCACGAGATAATATTTTTTTATTGTCTTTCTGAAAAGGGGTCCTAAAAACTGGCAAGATCCTAAAAACGTGTTATTGCTGCAGCTCATGTTGATGTCATGTCTCACGGAAGGAAACGTGACCCCGCACTGTCAGCTGCAGGATCCTGGTGTCATGCTGGGCCTCCTCTTCCAGCGCTCCATTGGACAGGATCGTGTTGTGATGCTTCAGGCTTTCAGAGGCTATTTGTCAGGAGGAGAGTGGCAGGCTCTTCCAGTCTGTCAGCCTCTGGAAACTTCTCCTGAACCTGCCCCCCATAGATGACCCTGCTCGTGTTTGCATTACGGGGGGCATGGCTTCCATGACCACAGCAGCGTGAAAGCCGCCACAGTGGGACAGGCTGACAGACGAGCGGTGGGTATAAGGTTTCCCAAAACCAAATTCATGGCCTTCAAGTCGATACAAACTCACAGCAATCCTATGGGACAGTGTAGAACTGCCTTGTGAGTTTTCAAGACTTTAACTCTTTACAGGAGTAAAATGCCCCATCTTTATCCCACAAAGTGGCTGGTGGTTTG